CGGCACCACGCGCGCTCCGCGGGGGGAGGCGGAACGCGCCACCGCCGCCCCGTCCCGCGGAACCCGCCCCCGAGGACGGCCCGCTCGCGGCGGCCGAGCGCCGCCGCAGGACGCGCTGCCGCCCCCGGCTGCGGGGCTCCTGGGGAGGGCGCGGTGGGAAAGTGTGCGCAGTGACCCCTCAGCCCCCCCTCCAGCGTCAGTGGTCTCGCCTGGGCTGTGGCTCTGCAGCTGGGGGGGGCGCCGCGCATCCAGGGGTACCCGGCTGTTGCCACGGCAACCACATCCCGGCCCGAATCTGGGGGGGCTGACCCCGAATTGGAGAGGAACAGGGCTGGGGAATGTGGGCATGCACTGGTGGGCAGAGGGTTACCGGGCGTGGGGTGACGGGTGGTATAAATTGGGAAGTAAGAATAATATAGAAGGGCGATAAAGGGGGAATAATGGGAAGGTCAAGGCAAACAGGTGGGTATAAAGGGGCGTGAAGGGGATGCACAGGTAAAAACAGGGGTTATAGAGGGGTGCTATAAAGGAGGCACAGGCGGGGTACAAAGGGGTTTATAAAGGGGGGGATAGGAGTAAAACCAGAGCCCAGCAGGCCTGCCCAGCCCCTCAGTTTGCAGGGAGCCCACACATCTTCCCACCTGCCAGCTGCCACAGCTCCTCCTCCGCGTGGGACCCCCCTCATCACCATCACCCCCCTCAGCTGGTGCCCCCCACCCCCAGGGCAGGAGCCCCACCCCGTTCAGGACGTGGCACCGAGCCCACCTGCTGCAGCTTCCCGGGAATTCCAGCAGCTCCTGCCTGCCTCCTTCGGGTGAGATGGGGGGGCAGCTCTTGGACCGGGCAGCCTGGCAGAGCTGGAGCTCCAGGGATGCAGAGGAGGTGCCCCTATCCCCAGCCAGGCCACTGCTGGAGAAGGCCATGGGGGATGATGGCCACAGGGACAGGAAGGTGCTGACCCAGCCCAGCACATTTGGGGACCTGTCAGCTGCAGGATGGAGCCAGAGCTCTGCCATGAACCAGCCCCCAATAAATCTGTCCCAGTCCACATGGGGGGGGCCAGCATGGTCCCCTGACCCTCCGCCCTGGCCTCAGTGTCTGGATGGTTCCACAGCCAGGCCAGACCTGGTTGTGCAGCCATGGCAGTGCCCCAGGAGCAAGGATGACGATGAGGGTGATAGGGAGCTCCTGCCCTGGGACACGGGACCCACCCCAGGGCCTTCACTCCCAGCCAGGCAGCCCCAGAAGGCGCTGAGGCTCAGCGTGTCCCACGGGCACCACAGCACAGCGGGCGCGAGGGGCTGGGACCCCTGCAGCACAGGAGGAGCATGCGGGCTGCCCTCCACCAAGGACCTCCTCTGGCCCTCCACCCTCACCTCCAGTGGCTCCTCCTCCCTGCAGAGACCCCCGGTCCTTCCCCAGCATCCCACAGGACCCAGTGGATGGGCCTGGGGGCACGGAGCAGGTGCCTGGGAACAGCCCTCATCCCTTGGGGGGCAGACCCACCTGACCCCAGCAGCTCAGCATGGCCAGGGATCGATCCATCCATCATCCATCCATCCATCCATCCATCCATCCTCCATCCATCATCCATCCATCCATCCATCCATCCATCCTCCATCCATCATCCATCCATCCATCCATCCATCCATCCTCCATCCATCATCCATCCATCCATCCATCCATCCATCCTCCATCCATCATCCATCCATCCATCCATCCATCCATCCTCCATCCATCATCCATCCATCCATCCATCCATCCATCCTCCATCCATCATCCATCCATCCATCCATCCATCCATCCTCCATCCATCATCCATCCATCCATCCATCCATCCATCCTCCATCCATCATCCATCCATCCATCCATCCATCCATCCTCCATCCATCATCCATCCATCCATCCATCCATCCATCCTCCATCCATCATCCATCCATCCATCCATCCATCCATCCTCCATCCATCATCCATCCATCCATCCATCCATCCATCCTCCATCCATCATCCATCCATCCATCCATCCATCCATCCTCCATCCATCATCCATCCATCCATCCATCCATCCATCCTCCATCCATCATCCATCCATCCATCCATCCATCCATCCTCCATCCATCATCCATCCATCCATCCATCCATCCATCCTCCATCCATCATCCATCCATCCATCCATCCATCCATCCTCCATCCATCATCCATCCATCCATCCATCCATCCATCCTCCATCCATCATCCATCCATCCATCCATCCATCCATCCTCCATCCATCATCCATCCATCCATCCATCCATCCATCCTCCATCCATCATCCATCCATCCATCCATCCATCCATCCTCCATCCATCATCCATCCATCCATCCATCCATCCATCCTCCATCCATCATCCATCCATCCATCCATCCATCCATCCTCCATCCATCATCCATCCATCCATCCATCCATCCATCCTCCATCCATCATCCATCCATCCATCCATCCATCCATCCTCCATCCATCATCCATCCATCCATCCATCCATCCATCCTCCATCCATCATCCATCCATCCATCCATCCATCCATCCTCCATCCATCATCCATCCATCCATCCATCCATCCATCCATCCATCCATCATCCATCCATCCATCCCTCCCTCCCTCCCTCCCCACATCTGGGGAGTGGCAGGGCCCCATGGGAGGGTTTCAGTGTTCCAGGGCAGAGGGTGTCCAGGAGGAAGGTTCAGGGGTGTTGGGAATCTTCTGAAGGCAGCGTCCAGGGGCCAGTGAGAGTCCTGGGGGGTGTCCAGGAGCCCAGGGGAGCAGCAACCAGAGTAGGAATAGGTTGGAGGGTGATGGAGGAGGGCACTGGCCCCAGTGCCTGGCCTGGGGAAGGGGAATCTATCCAGTGTGATTCCCAAGCTCTCAGTGCCACCAGTGGGACAGTGGTGATGGTGCCAGGAGCCCCAGGCCGATCCCACCCAGCTTCCCCCTGCGGTGCCCCCCATCCTGTCCCCACTTACTCCCACCTGTCCTGGTTCATGCTGGAGCAAGGGTGGCTCCCCTCGCCAGACACAAGTGAGCAGGGCCCCCCAAGCCCCCAGAGCCGTCTCTCCCGTGCTCCAGCTCATTCCCCTTCCGAGCCTGCGGCCCCCACAGGCACCAGCCAGCCCCCCCTGCCCTAGGGCTCCATCAGAGTCCTCACCGCTGTGTGCCCCCGTCTGCCACCCACCCTGGCAGCCCCAGCCCGCGGGGTGCAGCCCCTCCTTGCCCCACTGCAGCTCAGCACACACTGATCTGTCCATTTATTCGGGGTTTCACAGAAGTCAGGGGTTGGGGGGTCAGACCGTCACCAGGGCGGGGCAGGGGAAGTCGGATCCCGACATTAAATTATCAGTTAAATTAATGAGCAAGAAAAACCAACAGTTTTGTCTCAGGAGAAAGTGCCCAAGTGCGGGGTAGGCGGGGGGCCCCTCACGGGGTGGGGGTGGACCCTGGCCGGGACCCCAGCCCCCGTGTGCAGCACAGGTGCCCCAGGCCCGGGACACGCCAGTGCCCGCACACGGACATGCATGGGCACGCGTGCACCCCGTGCCTCCACTGACGTTTGGTCCCTGCTTGGAGCCCCCCGTCCTCTCCCAGGGTTCCAGGGGACCTGTGCCTGGCCAGCGACTCCCCCCTGCCACTAGCAGCAGGGCACAGGGACCCCTCACAGCCCAGCCCAGGATGCCACAGCCCCGGGGAAGCAGGGGGGTCTTTGGGGAGTGCAGCCCCCTGTGAATCAGGAGTGCATGAGCGGCCAGGCTGGAAACACCTGTGACCAGCCTGGAGGGGGCCAGGGTGTCCCTGGCACTGGCGGGCAGAGTGGGAGCCCCCCTGGGTGCCAGGTGCAGCAGGGAGGCCACACAGCTCCTCCCTGACACAGGGGGGGCCCGGCTGTTCCAGTGTTGCCCCCACCCAGCTCCCCTGTGCCACAGGGCAGGGGGCTCCCTGGGGGGAGGCTGGCAGTGGGCCTGGGAGGGGTGCACCCTCATCCTGCCCGGGGAGGCAGAGGGGGGACAGTGGAAGGTCCTGGCTCACCCCAAGGTGAGCGGGGTGTCTGGGGGCAGCAGCCCAGCGAGCCCCCTCAGGAGTGTCAGGGGCAGGGGGGCTCCAGCTGTCTGCTGTGTGGGGTCTGTGCTGAGGAGCTGCTGCGCCCTGCCCTGAGGAGGGGCTGTGGGATGAGGGGGGACCCAGCCCACCGGCAGCTCCCCACACCTGGTGGCCCCCCCCATCCAAGAGCAGGCCTGGGCTGTGGCCCCCACAAGCCCCTGGCCACAACTGAGGTCCATGTGTGCTCCTCCATCCAGGGGGCACAGGGGGCTCACTGCTCCTCCAGCCAGGAGGGCTTCTCGGCGCCAGGGGTCTTCAGCTTGATGTTGAACTGCTTGAGGGTCTGCTCAAGCTGCTGCTGGTTCCCAGCAAAGTACGCAGAGATGGCGTTGTGGAACAGCAGCAGTTGCTTGTGCATCACCTTGATCTGAGGAGGGAGGGGATCATGACTGGGGGGGCCTGAGCCCACGCCAGCAGCAGAGGAAAGGGGTTGGAAAGCCCTCTGAGACACTCCCGAGTGCCACCGCTCCCCCCCTGCACTGCCCGTTCCACCCAATTCGTGTCCTTGAGTGACAAATTCAACATGGCTGTGAAATCCCTGCAGGGACCCCATCCCTGTGCCTCCTGTCCCTGCACTTCCCCCCATCCCTATCCCAACCCCCCCATCTCATGTGCTCCACCTCTGCATGCCCCACCTCTGTCTCGCATCTCCCACTCCTGTGCCCTTCATCCCCCCCACACACCTCCCATCCCTGCACCCACCTTGTTCTCCTCCAAGAATTTGAGCTTGATGGCCACGTCTGCGCGCAGCTTCTCGTACTTGTCCTTGTGGCTCTGGAACTGGCTCTGGGCCGCGTCCAGGCGGCTGACGGCGCCGGCGTCGCGCGGGCCCATGCTCAGCTCCTCCAGGTCCGTGCGGTACGCGTCGTACTCCAACCTGCACAGCACCCCCGGCATCACTGACCCGCCCCAGAGCTGCCCGAGCCCTGAGCCCCGGCTCCCTGTCCCACCTGGCCGTCTCGTACTGCTTGACTGTCATGAGCGTGTCCTCCATGGTCTTGTTGACCAGCGTGTTGATGCTGGACACAAAGAAGTTGACGGCGCCCAGCAGCGTCTCCCCGTTCTTGCACAGCAGCTTCTGCGTCTCCGCGTTGTACCCAAACTCCTCCTGGGGACAGAGGGATGGGGGCACGGGTGAGGGGCTGCGGATCACATCCCCACTCCCCTCCATCAAGGGTGCCTTGGTGCTGGGGTAAAAGCCCCCTGAGACCACCCAGGCCAGCCATGAGGCAGCACCACCAAGCCCAGCACAACATCTGCTCTTGTGCAGATCGTGTTCCTGCCCTGGTGCCCAAGTGTGACTCCCCAAGTCCTGACCCCCACAACCCCAGTGTCAAGCCCCAGCTACCCCTGCCCCCCCAGCCCTAGTGTCCAGGTGCCCCTCCAAGTCCTGGCACTCCCCATCCTCCCCCAGCCTGGTGCCCAGGCGTCCCTGCCCTCACCCCAGTGTCCCCCTAGCGCAGGCACACCTGGAGCTCGGGGGATTTCTGGCTGAGGTCAGCAAAGGCGTCGCCCAGGGCGTGCTGGGTCTGCACGAGGCTGTAGAGGTGGGCCGTGAGGGCCCGTGCCAGGTGCAGCACGCTCTCGTACTTGCGCTTGGTCTCCCGCAGCAGCTCGATCTGCGTCTCCAGCTCCAGGTCCACCGTGCGCGAGCCCCGGCCGAAGCGCTCCGAGAGCAGCTGCTTGGTGCACTGCAGCAGGGGACACCGGGGCCCCCGGGCATCTGTCAGCCCCCCGAACCCCCCCCAGAGCAGCTGCTTTGGCAGGGGGGCAGGAAGGCTGCTGGTGTCCCCTCACCTTGTAGGTGTTGATCCCCCACTTCTTGACAATGTCAAACTTCTCAACGGCAATGCCACGCACGACCTCCTCTCCACCAGCTGGGGGTCCGGGGGGTGGTGGGTGCAGCCCGGGGCCTGGCACAGGGACAGGGATAGGAACCTGGCACCAGCTCCAGGAGGGCAGCAGCCATGGGGACCGGGCAGCCCCAGAGCCCTTGTCCTGGAGCTGCTGTTTCCACAGCAGCATGCCCAGCTCTGGGCATATGCCCAGCACTGGATCAGACAGAACGTGCTGAGGACCCTGCTCCTGCCAGGCCCCCTGAGGGGGGCACAGACCCCAGCCCAGCCTTATCTGCTTGCACCAGGCCCTGCCCCATGCTGCTGACCACCCCCACCAGGCTGGACACAGGGGGAACACTGCCAGCAGCACTGGGAGTCCCCCAGGTGGGCTCAGGGGCAGAGTGAGCCCCCCGGCCAGGACCCACCTCTGAGCCCCCGGGGCCCACCAGCGCTGTCTCTGTCCCAGCACAAGGATCAGCGCCGGGCTCTGGCCAGGACACAGCCACCACAGGGCTCTTACCCGGGTCCCTGGGGCACCCGGGGCGGGGCGGGGGCGCAGTACCTGCGGGGGGCGCGGCCGGCCGGGCCATCCTGCGGGCAGCGGGCGCGCTCGGGGGCACCGATGCTCCTCGGGGGGGGTGAGGGTGGACAAGAGAGCCTGGAAACGGGGGGGCTGCGGGGGCCGAGCGGGGGGCAGGGCAGGGGACAGTGGGGTAGCCAGGGCAGAGGGGACGGGGCGAGGGACAGGGACGAGTGCGCGGGTGGGCGGCAGCGGGAGAGCGACGGCAGAGGTGAGCCTTGGAACCCAGAGACGCGGCTGCAGCCACACAGACCGATCCCCCAGCCCAGGAACCCCCCAGCCATGGCCCCTGCGCAGGAACGCCTGCACCCCGAGGGCTGGGCAGGCCTGGCGTCACGGGGACGCCGGGACACAGGGACACACGGCCAGCAGCGGCAGTGCTCTAGGCAAGCACACACGCGTGCACTCGCCCTCTCTCCCCACATGGACCCTCCTCAAGCCCTGTGGGGACCCTCAGGGAGAGGTCTGCATGGAACAAGGACAGTGGTGCCGGGTGTCCCAGGGTGCAGAGCCCAGGCACCCTGCTGTGGCCAGTCTGACTGGGACAGCAAGAAGGGGTCAGTGGGGTGCGGGCTCCCTGCCTGCCCCCCATCCTCAGCACACTCCAGAGCTGCCAGTGCACAGGGACCAGGACATACCTGGGATCCTCCACCAGAGCAGGGGCTCAGAATGCCACAGGGATGGAAATTCCCAGCAGAGACCCCACCCTGTGACAGGGGAGCAGCCCAGCCCAGGGAGAGCAGCTGGGGCAGCAGCCCCTGCTCTGCCTCAGTACACAGCCCACACGCTGCCCTGCACAGACCCCCAGCCCACCCAGGAGACACCTCGGCTAGGAACAACCCAGGACAGCCAGGGCACAGCCTTGTGCCAGAACTCGGGGCACTGAGGGCAGCTGAGCCCCTCCGCCCCACAACAACCCCCCTGCCTGCCCAGCAGCCCCGGTACCTTTGATGGTGCCCGTGGGGATGATGCCCTCGGCTGTGCCCCCGTAGCCGCCCGACACGATGCTGGTCTCGTTCAGGTTGGGTCCCGACACCATCACCTGCTGCAGGTCCTGGGGGCACAGGAGCACACATGAAGAGACAGCACAGCCCTGGGCCAGCCCCAAACACCCCCGGGCTTCCCGCCCCCGCACCTGCTCCAGGCCGTCGTCCTCGGGCAGGCTGCTGGTGTCCCCGTTGCTGCTGATGGGGATCTCCATGGTGGCTGCCTTGCTCATGATCCCGTCCGACATCCTCAGGGCCTGCAGGGACACGGACGTGCTGCCGGCGCCGAGCAGACGCTGCCCCCGGTGCAGGGCCTCCCGCAGCCCCTGCCCAGCCCGGCCCGGCCCGGCCGGACACCCTGGCTCGCAGAACGGAGCCGCAGGTGGCACATGCCCGAGGCGCCGACCCCACCGCGGCTCCCACACCGTCCCGCCCGGGACTCCCGGGCTCCCCGGCCCCCGGCCGCTCTCCGCGCTCCCTCTCACAAACCCCGCCGGGGATCCCCGCCGGCCCTGCCCCGGGACAGCGGCGCCCGGCACGGCCCCGGCAGCCACGTCCGCAGCAGAGCGGGGGGGCCGCTGCGCCCGGACCGGTCGGGGCACATTCCAGAGCAGGCGGGGCCGGGGCGGGCTCCGAGAGCCCGTTACCCGTGACCGCCCCCTCCCCGCGGGACAGGCCCGGCCCAGGCCGAGCCCTGCGGGCAGAGGCCGTCACCCCCGCGCCATCCTCGCCGCAGAGCGGCCCCGCAGCCTCCGGGGGCAGCGTCGGCACGGAGCGCTGCGCAGCCACGCACGGCACGGCCCCGGGTCGGGACCGACCTCGGCGGGGACCCCCGGTGGCCGCTCCTGCCGGAACCGGCCCTGCGGGCGGCGGCGGCCCCGGCCCCGCCGGGCCCCCCCGCGCCGCTCCCGCTCCGCTCGCCCGGACGCGCCGGAAGTGCCGTCAGGGGCCCGGAAGTGGCGTCATCGCTGAGCCCGGCGGAGGTGACGCGCTGGGACGGAGGGAGCGGGCCCGGCGCGGCCCGGGATGGACCCGGCGGCCGAGCACCGGCAGCAGCTCCGCAGCGTGAGCGCCGGGCCGGGGCGGGCAGCGGCGCGTCCCGGGGGGGCGG